GGCTGCTGATGTAAAAAGCTGCTGGACAATGATCGTCTAAGGACACTGATACCCAAATAGATAATGCAGGTGATAAACTGAACAAATTCCTTCAGTACATAAATAGCCCCTCAAAGAAAATGAGCATGATTCAGAAGGGAATAAACTATACCATTTAGTTAATGTAGTTTAAGATGAACCTGGCTACAGTGTTATATTTCAAATGGAAAATCAGAGAGATTAACTTTTAACTACAAACAACTATGAAAACATGAAATATGCTGCTAATTAAATAATCCTACACTCTAGGTTTTATTAAAAGAGAAATATACCATTGGCTTAGATGACTACTGGCTAAACTACAAGCACATGGTACACACATCATCTACCTTTCTAGAGAACAATTTAGCGATATTTATGCAGAGCCTTATAAATGTCGTAACACTTGAGGTAATCTATAAGGGGTGAACACAAAGATGCATGTAACAAGATGTTCACTGCACCAGGGTGAGTATGAACTAAAAAATGGAAGACAATAGTTCAATAGTGGGGAAAGAGTTAGATTGCTGGAGCTTCACAAAATAAATCATATAACAAGTTCTTTAAAAAAATGTTCTTGAGGAATATTTAATGACAGAATACTCATGAAAATATCAAGATAAATCAACACATTTTTAACTTGTAAATGTGTGCATAAAATAGACACATAAAAAACTAAAAAAGAGATATACCAACGCGTTAATAATAATTATCTCTACATAGTGGGATTACAGCTGATATTTTTTTGTCTTTAGACTCTTCTAAATTTTCTTCAGTAAACAGTAATTTATTTTATTTAAAAGGAAAGGAATGGACATTTTATGAGGCTGAATTTCAATAAAAATGACTATGTACAAGCGTTGGTTTCCCCAAAAAAAACATGTGCAGTGCTTTCTCCCTGTCCAGCAGGAAGCAATATACCTTCTATTTGCTCCAGGTCTCTTCCTCTTCTACTCATTCTAACCTATCAACAACCAGACACTTGAAGAAAACCTCAATTTTGCAATAATAAGATTTTATGAGGCTGAATTTCAATAAAAATGACTATGTACAAGCGTTGGTTTCCCCAAAAAAAAATGTGCAGTGCTTTCTCCCTGTCCAGCAGGAAGCAATATACCTTCTGTTTGCTCCAGGTCTCTTCCTCTTCTACTCATTCTAACCTATCAACAACCAGACACTTGAAGAAAACCTCAATTTTGCAATAATAAGGTTGGCAAACCCACTCCCTCAGACACACACTTTTCTCTTCTTTAAGTAAAAATAATGTCCACTGTGCTAAAACCCCTTAGAAAGGCCAGTCTCACAACCCTACATGATCCAGGTATCCTAAATTCCCAGACTCTTCCCACATCCCTTCCTCCCTGCTTGCTATGCTCCACATGTGCTGGTCTTCTTTCTCTTCCTGATCTCGCTGAGATCTCTCACACTTCAAGGAAGCTAAACCACAAAGCTCTTCCCCCAGATGTTCACACAGTGAGCTCCTTCTTTTCATTCGGGGCCAGACTGCACCTCCTCAGAGGCCTTCCCTAACTCCCCCGCCCCAACCAGGCTAACTGTCTGCTTCCACCCCTCCTCCATACTGCCCCTTGCAGTCACTCTATCACATTAACCCGTTTTATGTTCTTCAGAACACTGACACTATCCAAAAATACTCTCTATCCTCGTTTATTGTCTACCCCTCCTGTTAGGGTGTGAACACTGGTATCCAGCATTTATATCCTCCATGAACTTAACAAAATTACTCAACACACTAACACTCATCTGTGAAAGACCCAGAGTTGCAAATCGCTAAGCATTTGGCACATAATAAAGATTCAATAAATGGCAAGCAGTTTTAATTAATAAAAAACAGGACCTTGCATTCTAAATAAAAGTTCATTGTACATTATTGAGCTGTCACAAATACACTTTAAAAACTAGAAGATGAGAGAGAAGATGCACTTCTCCCTATTCATACCACTAAGTATGGCTAAAAAACCCTGGATATCATACATAAAATAAATATAAGACTGAAGGGTGGAGAGAAGAGACACCAGATAGGAATCTCAGGACCTGAGGGTCAACACAGCAATGTGCTTGGTGGGTTGTCTTTTTGCCTCATATACCCCAGATTGGGTGCTGGGGAATACAGGAGCCTGGAAACAACAACAGTTACACATATGCAAATACACAAGAGAAACCAGCTCTCAAGTCAAAAGACCAAGAAAAGGGCAGCCTGACTTGACAGAAAACTTTTAGACAATAGCTACACTACTTCAACCAACCACCATGGAAAATCCACATCCCCAGCTCCATCAGTAAAGGGCAAGTAGGAAGCCTAGAATTCCAACCTCATGTGACTGTAGCAAGGCACCCCAACAATGTCCTCTGCCAGAGTGGTATCAGAAAAGACGAAGTGGAGAGAGAGCTGGGACTTTCATCTCAACCTGGCAATAGCAAAAACCCCTCTGCAGCCATGGCATCAGAAGAGACCACATGAGGAGCCTGGACATCTACCTGTATATAGCAGTAACAAGCTCCTCCTCCCTTTCCCTGCCATGATGGTATCAGAAAAGGCAGAATGGGAAGCCTGCATCCTTCACCACCTTTCACCAGTAATGAGGCACCTGTCCCCACCCTACCAGTGTCAGTGCAGAGAATAACCAGGAGCCCTTCCCCTTACCTGCCAAAATGTTTAAGGGGTATAGAGTTTCAGTTTGACAAGATGTTGAAGTTCTGGAGATCTGTTTTACAACAGTGTGAATATACTTAATACTACTGAACTGTATACTCAAAAATGGTTAAGATGGCAAATTTTGTTATGTATTTTCTACCACAATAGGAACGTCTTTAAAAGTACCCATACTAATCAAAAGCAAAAGATTACTTATTATTCCATACATTTAATTGTTCATTCGTTCATTTCTTTAAGATACACAGAACAGTAGTTATACATTATAAAACAATTAAAAATCGTATTAATTAGTGCACCTTATTTAACTGCCTTTCTCAAATGCTGCTATATTTGAAGCTTAATCAATCCATGCCTGTGCTGAGGGTGAAAAAAAAATTCTGCTAAAACTCTCAGCCTCTATTACCACAACTTACACAGTAAAACTACTCAAGTGTTACTTTTTCTAATACAATGATTATAACACATTTAATAAGTTGGAAAATTTAATAGCAAAAACTAGACACATAGATTGTTGAAAAAACACTTTCTCTGAGGCATAAACTTCTTAGTAGAATCTAAATCAGAATTATTAGAATAAAAGCAAAATGTGGTTTACCCTCTATTTGGACTTTCAAGGATCAAGTTTACTATGTAAGTCTGATAGTTATAACAGCTACTGAAAATTTAACTTCATTATAAAAACCAAAATTCAATGTACTGCATTTAATGCAGAAGAACGACGGTAAACAGTGTATTTAAGTGGCTCCATTCCACCTTTCTGAGCAGCATTACCTTTACCATGTGTTGCAAAACTTGGATTTGAAAGGTGTACCCCTCTCCCACTTGAGAAAAAAAGAGGATGACTGGTTTAAAGAATGCTGCATACTACCTTCTCCACATGAAGATTCACATTACACATTAGCATATAAAAAACTGGGAAAAGTTGTATAATTGAAAATATTTGGAGCTGGCTGGTTAACTCAGTTGGTTATAGCGCAGCCTTATAACACCACAGCCACAGATTCGGATCCCCAAACCGGTGCTGTGGGTTGATTGAATTGTGTCCCCTGAAGTCCATATATTAGAAGCTTAATTTCCACTGTGACTGTTGAGGGTGGGAAATCCTATTGTTGTAACTGAAAGGTGGGGCCTTGAAGAGGTGACTAGATTGTAGGACCATGCTGTAATGAATGGATTAATACTGGTGGTCAGGGGTGTGGTTCTGAGGGCTTTAAAGAGAGAGTGAATGAAGAGGTTACTCTCTACTCTCTTTACTCCATCACTTTGCAATGTGATACTCCGTCGTCACTGTCACCACCACCAAGACCCTCACCAGAAGTGTTCCCTGGACTTTGGACTTCACAGCCTCAGAAACTATAAGCAATAAATTGTGTTTTCTTTATAAATTACCCAGTTCCAGGTATTTTGTTATAAGCAACAGAAATGGGCTAATACAACTAGACAGCTACCAAAATAAAAAGAAAATATTTGTAATTGTGACTTACTTACTGCTTTCCAAACTTATACATAACCATGGTTCACCTTTTTCACTTGTTAACACCTCACTGAAGACTAATATTCTCAGGCAAGGTTTCTCAAACCATAAAGATCAAATGAATCAACTAGAGATCTCATTAAAATGTAGACTTTGATTCAGCAGGTCTGCAGTGGGGCCTGAGAGTCTGCATTTCCAACACATTCTCTCGTGATACCAATTCTGCTGGTCCAGGGATAGCCCTTTAGCAAGGGGATACTTTGAGAAAGGCTATGATAGAGACCCATTTATAGCTATACAATGCTATGATGTGGATGTAATACTTACAAACTCTACTGTAAATACAATAAAGGAATATCAAAGGACTGGAAGGGAACCAAGTTAAAGACAAAGAAAGGAGGCTCTTAAAGGTAATTTGGATTGGCAGAGTATTAGCCAAGGAAAACAATAGGAACAGGTCAGAGCAAGCAGAGAATATAAAGAGACCCCTCCCTAAAGAAGGCCAAGGATATGGGAAAAAGAGATGGGGGCTGAGGTTGATGTGGCATAAGAAATATTAACAGATAGGAAGGACTCATAAATTTTCTAATTTTTCATTACTAAAATAGGACAAATAGGCAGGAGCCATTTACTCGATTTCTATTTTAATCACTAAAAGACTCGTATAACATCTTCTTTTAATGCTCTGTAGCACAGAGGTTTGGCAAAGTTCAAAAAGGCCCCCTGGGATGAAAAATAAATTCTACAGAGATGACATTACTTGTTTAACCACTAAAATTTTAGGTGAAAACAATAATTTTTAAAGTAGAGTAATAGATGAAATCTAAGTCAAACCTTTTCTTGGATTAGTCTTTGAAGATGAATCCCACAGGACAACATGGAAGCGAATAAGGTCAACATGTACTGCTGAACTTTGCAGATGGCAGAAGCCAGGGAGTTTATTACCGAGTTCAGTCCCACCTTCTCAATAACATTCTGGAAGGCGGTAGGACAATGGCGAGTGATTCTACATAAAGCCTGCAGGAACAGGAGAACAGATCCGTCAGACAACTCCAAGTGCATTAACCACTCTCCCGACAGATAACACATGCTTCTGTATAAAGGAGTAGAAGGTGCTTACCTTGCTCCTTTACTACTTATTTCGGCACAAGAAAGTTGTAAATTTTCAACAAACTTAAAAATAAAACAATAATCCAGCTACCACCAAAAACTAAAGTTGTCTTAAAACATTAGAGACATAATAATAAGTACATTAAGGGTAAGAGTAGGAAAGAAGAAAACCTGATGACCCATCTGGAAAGGCAGGCTGGAGCCAAGAGTTGGTTGATAAGGCTAGGAACTTTAAATTTCACGACGTAAGCAATAGGAAGCCCTCGAAAGTTTTTAAGAGAAAGAGATGAACGTATTCCATGTGTACATGGGAGACTTCAAAGAGAAAAATAAACTTAAGCCATGAATAGTTTTATAAAAACACTCACTATAATTAATGCCACATAAGCTCCTTCTTCCTGATTTATATTTTAAATAGATTTATAACCTTGATTAACAATGAAAAGATCAAATATAAGATGAATTGTTAGATATATGAAGTCAAGAGGAAAGAAGGGAGAAAGAGAAGGAGAGGAGAGAGGGAGAGAGCTATAAAAAAGATAAAAGACTTTGAAAAATATTTACGTTTTCTTGAAAGTCTGAGGAAAACATTAAAAATGTTTTCTATCTCCAAGAAGGAACTTCCTTTAAAAGTTATTCTTATTGAAAAAATAAGGAAAAGTGTCGATTGGTATAAAACCCAATCTTGCCCCAAAATGAAACACTTTAAAGGAGATGTTTTTCCTTAATGTTAAACATTATTTCTAATCTCTTTGAAAATGATAGCCTGACTTTATTATAGCCAGAAAGGAAAACATAAATGTAAGTATTACTATTGAAAATCGAGAAGGACCTTCTCCAGATGCTCTCTCTTAAGACTGGGACTGAGAGATGGGGGTAGAAAAAAGGCAATGAAGAGTCTTCAACCTTTTATGTCTCTGCTGTTCAAATTTCTCAAGTGAATCCATATTATTTTTATAATAACTTTTGAAATTACATTCCAATGCTAATGACTATTTTAGACACTTTAAAAATTATATTGAAATAAACATTTACAGGAAATTTTGCTTTATTAGTAATGTATATATTTACTGCCATTCCTGAAGTTAATGAGTAAATAAAATGTACTGAATAAATGAGCATTTGTAAAGCACTAACTATATACTTTAAAAAAAAATTGTCCCTTTCCTCATAGAACTATCAAATTGTCACTTATAAAATTCCACCTTAATAATCACTGACTCCATTTCAAACATATACCAGAAGTATTCATTTAGAAATAGCCATATCAGAATAAACTCCATAGAATAATTAAACTCTACTTCAGGCACCTTTCAGATAACATTTCAGTCTCTCCTCTTTCTTGTAAGGAAGTTACAGGTGGGTAAGTTAGACATCATGGTTTAGAAAATATGAAAGTAGGGTTCTTCAAATCTAAAATCCAAACTGTATAAGTTTTGGTAGAAAAATAGTAGTAATATCTGAAAATAGGAATATGAAAAACAAATTCACTAAAAAGAAAGCTGGTTCAGATTAAATAATTGTGAAAGTTTTTAAAACTCATTTGTAATGAATCTAAGAAAACTGCTATTCATAAAATCACAACAATTTGTTTCATTATTGTCTTAGTCCAAATATTAAAAAATGGCATTTTAAATGATGTCCCTAAAGATCACACTACAATCAGAATTTTTCCAGCAAATTAGGATTCTCCCAACAATGACTTCAACACAGCAAACAGTAAGTCTCATTAGTACTAAACAATTCTTGGAGAAGCTGGCACAGCAAAACTGACTTTCTATTGACGTGAAATCCCTACCCAATGACAATGGGGAAATTTCTTGGTAAACAATTTGTCCAGACTACTTCTAAATAGATTTCAAAGCAATATGAGGGCAACTAGAATATCTCTTCTTCAGAATGCTGCTCAAAAGCCTAATAGAGTTTCTATTTTGAAAAGCTCATGAAGAAAATAATTTTTAATTAGTCACTTCTGAATATCAAACTCAGTTGAGAGCTTCAGAGCAACTGAGAAGATGCAGAGTCTTAAGAGCACATTAGTGCTTGTATTTCCTGATTCAAAAAAATCAAATACCAAATCTGATCTCCAGCAATTTAGTTTTAAAATATTTAGTTATTAAAATAGAGTTCGAGACTACATTTTAAAATTGGAAAAAAAGGTTCAGTTAAAAATTCACTTCAAAATTTTACTTCAAAAAGAACATTTAGTGTTATCTCCAGAATTTGTATTTCCTTACAGTCTGTTTAATAAAAGCAATTTCAAAGAAAAGAACTAATTCAAAAGTGAAGGCTGAATATCTATTCAAAACATGAACAGAATCACCAGAGAAGAAAAAGTTTAAGAACCATTTCTCTCTGGTCTTTCAAATGGTTTTTTGATAAATGAAATTACCCTGAAACCTTTTTTCAAACTATACACATTCTCTTCTGACTCCTGGGAGATCTTAAGACATATCAGAACAGAGGCAGGGGTGGATACAGAAGAAAAAGAAGTCAATGTTTCTTGAAAAGCTCCCCAACCCCAGAGAGAACCACTACTTCGCATACTTCTTTGTGGAACATACTAACATTAATAAAGCACATGTATTTCACAGGGCCTTAACCTTTAGCTTAGTAGGACCACAGCCCTTAGTTTTAGTAGGGCCAAAGCCCTTAGCATAGGTAGTAGCTTAGTAGGGCCACAGCCTTTCATTTTAGCATGGCCAAAGCCCTGCAGCCTTAGGAATAGCCTAACATTTTAGCATTACACATATAAATGCTAAGCTTGGGAAAAAGAGAAAACTTTCCCAGGACTAAAGTCTCTGTTGTACATAAAAAAAATTGTAACACAGCAAAAGTGACTGCTCTAAGGGTAGTCATCCTTGGTGCAGCTAAACCTAATGATGGGAAAGTATGTGAGCTAAAAGCTTCAAGGTTAATGGTTGGGGGATGTTCCACATCTTGCCCTCTGCTGTTTCTTTAAGTTTCTTAGGGAACTAAGTGTTGCCACGATGATATCTCATTGTTTCTTTTTGTACTTCATATAGCTTAGTTTTTTGACTCCTTAGATAGTAAATTGCTTACACTATGACTGATTAATCACCTGTGTTCTTTTCTGTAACTTTCTTGCCTGGACAATAAAAACTGAGAAAAAACCTGATTTGGGGTTACTCCTAGAACCCTTCTCTCGTGAAGGAATTGCTCTTGGGATTAACCCTTTTGGGCCTCTCATCATTCTGTAGAAATGGGCTTTGAATAATCCTTTGCATCTCTGTCACCCTGTCTTCACTTTTTGACACATTTTCATCTCAGTGCTTCAGTAATTATAATTAATCCAGTTATCTCCTCTGTAGGAGCTGTTTTACCCAATCTAACCCTATGGGTTTCTCTGGTTCCCATTATGGTTCCTCAGGAGAGATTCTCTATAATCCCGATAATTCTAAGAATCATTTCTTTCTGTTCGACACATTACCCAAGTCAGGCTCACTCCCCCAGCTACCAATACCTACCAGTAATGCCACCCTTGAGTGGGAAGGACAATTTAATCATCTTTCACTCCAGGCCATGACAGTGTTTTTTAATAGCTCTAAAGTCTAGAGAAGTGGTTCTCAAACTTCAGCAGGCAAAATCACTGGGAAGATTGTTGAAATGTAGATTACTGGGCCCCCTTCCCCAGAGATTCTGATTCAACAGATCTGGGTTAGGGCCCCCCAAAAAAATTTCTAACAAGTTCCCAGGTGATACTGATGCTGCTGGCCTGAGGGCCACACTGGTGTAGAAGAATGGGTAGGAGAAATGGAGAAAAATCAGTAACGGAGGCAACAAATGCAGACAGTGATAAAGGGAAGAAGAAACAGGCTGCTGCCTCAATATCAAGCAATGCTATCTTCCACCCGGTGCTCATTCATTCATGCGATCAACAGACATCTACTAAGCACCTATCATGTGCTCAGAAAAGGAACAACAGGACTCCTATCTTCCTGGAAATGAAATTCTAAAGGTAAACACTGTGCCTAAATAAGTTAAATAAATACAGCTGTGTCCACTGCTATGAGGGAAAACAGAAAGAGAAATGATAGTTAATCACAGAAAGGAAGTAGAGGATCCAGGAATGTCCTAACTAAGGAGGTGACACTTAAGCTGAAAGCTGAAGAATTGGCCATGTGAAAAGCCAGCAGAGAGCATCTCAGGCACAGGGAACACCAAGGGGACAGGTCCTGAGGCAGAAAAATGCTTGGGAATTCTAGAAAATGTCTGAACGTAAGTTTGGGTGAGGCACAGTGAGTGAGTGAATGAGTATTGTGAGATGGGACAAAAGAAGTAGGCAAAGGCCAAACCATGCAAGACCGTGAAGGTTACATTAATAATTCTTATCTTTATCACCAAATGGGTACAGTAACCTCCAGAACACATTCCTGAGAGGTGACTATGAAAAAAGAAATTGGGAAAGAAGGTCAGCTCTGTTAGGCATTCCAAGAAGGAAGGGATTGTCATTCCTCACCAGAATAAGTGTGAAGTAGCTTCACAATGCATATTCTTTTTTTTTTTTTTTTGTCCTTTTTGAGACCGGCTGCACTGCACTCAGCCAGTGAGCGCTGTGAGCGCACTGGTCATCCCTATATAGGATCCGGACCCGCGGCGGGAGCGCTGCTGCACTCCCAGCGCTGCACTCTCCTGAGTGCGCCACGGGCTCCGCCCCACAATGCATATTCTCAGTTCCTATAACCTCAGTTTTTAATAAATCCTCATGTAAATCTGCTTATGATGATGCAGATGCAATTTTCTTAAGACCATAATATTAGAATAACTATTTTCCCTGAACAATGATCTCACACTGTATTACCTTTATTATTAGCAGCAGTTTTGTGGCCTATTTTTCTTTGTCTCCTAGAAAAGAGGAGGGTTTAATGTTATTAACCTCTTGCCCTCTACTCAATCCTGGGACAGGAGGATCCCTCTTAATCTTTGCAGGTAAAGTCCTAACTTGCTATCAACAGACCTGGTATCAAACTGAAAAAGAGATAAACAAAACGTAGTTCAGGATTTCAAGGAGCTTACAATCTATAAGGCATTATAATAAAATAAACCAACATAACTAATTTACTAAGAAAAATGTGCTAACTGCTTTGAACATCTAAAAACACTCATCAATTTTCAACTTCTACCTAGTACTTTGAATAACGTATTAGCAATCCTTCAAAAAAAAAAAAAATGGAAAGCTGGTGAAAAGTTTAAGCAGATAAGTAAGAAGAAGAAAAATGATTTTATGAAGTTCACTCTGTGTGGAGGATGGAGTTGGTAGAACAAAAAATTGGCCTTTGGAAGACCATTAGGAAGCTATTCCAGTGGTCCAGGTGAGAGGTGATGATAGCCTGGATCATGGAGGTAGCAGAGAGAGGTAGAAAGATCTGAGAGATGCTTAGAGAATCACAGGACAGGTTGACTAGCTGCTTGTAACTAGTGAAATAGAAAGAGATAAGGGAAGGGAAAGCACCAAAGATGACTCTGCTTTCCTTAACCCATCTTCTCTAACCTTCCCTCCCAGAGCCAATATGTCAGAGTCTGAGGAAGGCAGACAAAGAGGGAAAAGAGAATGCTGAGCCAAGGAGTAGCCAAGGAAGCAGAGTGTAGTGGCAAGGGAGCTGCAGTATCACAGAGGAGAGGATGGGAGTTTGTCACACACCAAGGGAATAAATCAACTGGTTGAACACATAAGTAAATATACTGGAATAATGGTTACCAGATTTCTCTCAGAGAAGGGATTTACAAACACGGAAAGAGAAGCTAGAAAGAATCCTGAGGTGTTAGATTAAAATTGGACGTATCAATATGAATTCATGAGTTTTTTCCCAAAATATGTACAATGATATAAAAAAATAAATTTATGTGTATGTACGGATATATATTTTTTTTCTAGCTCTGAATATAGAGAAGGCCTAGAAACAATGACACCCCTGGCAACAAACACAAAGAGCACCCTGATCTTTGTTCCTAATTACCATGGACTCCTTGGAAAAATGACCGATCCTAGGGCTGTCATGGAAAAAGTAAAAAATGAGCCAAGAATGCAGTCAGAGGGTAAGGAAGTACTCGAACAATGATTGATATAGGTCAAAAAGACACAGAAACCAGCTTAAAGGGATCCCACTGGCCAAATCTGGGATAATTTGAGCATTCAATTAGTAGTAGTATCACATTATAATCCATTTAATAAAATAAATATCCATGAGTCCATAATGATATACATACATACGTATATATGTATGCAGGATAAGGGAAAGTGCTCCCTAAAAATAGAATTCCAACCAATGCCTTGAGGCCCATTTTTGTGTAGCTCATGATCGGTAAAAAAAAAAAAAAATGCTTTTTCATTTTAAAAGCGTTATTGAAAACAAAACAAACAAAAGTATGCAACAGAAACTATACTCATATATGGTCTACAAAGCTCAAAGTATTTATTATCTGGTCTTTTATACAAAAATATTTGCCAAAATCTGAAACTCCAATGAGCATTTCCCTGAGCATCAAATTTCAGATTTTGAAACATTTTGGATTTCAGATTTTCAAATCAACAATGCTCAGCTTGTAAAGTGGGAAGTCATCAATGGATGCTATGGAGGTTTAATGGGAAAACACCAGCTAGACCCGGGTTGAGCCTCACCCTACAAAATAAAAGCTCTGTACACTTTTTAAAATTAAAAATGACATGAAATACACAAAGACCAAAGAAACTGTTTCAGACTGGAAGAGACTAAAGAGTTATGAAAACAAAATATAACATATAATCCTGAACAGGATCCTGGAGCAGAAAAGAAAAGGAGACATTATTGCAACAATTGGCAAAATTTCACTGAAAAAAAATACATGACTCAGATGAATGCTAAGAACAAAGTAAAAGAAGCCCAAGATGAAAGAGTCAAGCTTGATATGTTAGATAAAGAAAGGAAGGGCTAGAAGGTATGAGACTTTAGTGGGAACAATTGAAAAACTCTGCCAAGAAAAGAAACCATACTGAGTAGAAAGATGAAAATAACATAAACCCAGTTAAAGCAAGACAGATTTTTTTTTTAAAGGCTCAGGATTAAAATGGATACCTTAAAATATAATTGAAAGATGATTCAAGAAAGTTCACTGGTGTACTTTGTAATTCTTCCTGATGGTTTCTCTGTAATTATTGATACATAATTAGTTTTGTAATTTTGAAAACATGTGGCTCGTGAAGCAGAGGGGTGTGTGTGCGTTGGATGCTATATATCCTTTCTTAATGATATTCAGGAGGCAAGATTTTTAGCCTTTGATCTTTAAGATTACATAGATAACGAAAGATAGAACTGAAAAACATCTATAAATATCCACAGGGTTTAGCAACATGAAAGACAAGATCAGCTTCAGTGGCATTTTTAGGACAGATAACAGCTTGGATTGAAAAGGAAACATGGTCCAGAAAGGAACAACGTTATGTGGCAATAATTCTTTAAAGAGGTATGGCTATGAAGAAGGGATGTGTGGCCTTGAGACTTTTTAATATGTTTGTGTTTTTTGTTTGTTTGTTTGTTTGTTTGTTATTTCAATGGGGAAGATTAATGAATACCTGAATGCTGACCAGAAGGATCTAGTAGAGGAGGAGAGATTCAAAATTTAGGAAAGAGAAAAAAATAACCATTTGAGTGACGTTCCCAAAAAGGGACCAGGAAGACGATTTGGAGAAACATGAAGAGATTTGCCTTTGACAGAAGAAAGGACATCTCATCAATTGTACCAGGAGGAAAAGAACTGAGAGAGGACAGGTGGGCTTGTAATTAGGTCTGCTAATATGGCAGAAGAAAGTTGGGATGGTTCCCACTGGACGTAGTAAGGGAAAGTTATTCAGTGAGGATGCAGGATGAAATGTGGGATTGGAGGTTTAAGGAGAGAAGGTAAGGTATGAAACTGCTACAGAGAGAAGTGCAAGAAAGATACAGTGAGAGTGCCACAAAATGTTGAGAGTCCAGATGAGACTGGTAATCAAATGGGGTATTCAAGAAAACCACATGAGAAAGGGTTATATTCGTCCAACAGGCTATTAAATTGATAAAAATCACGTTAACACATCTTCGTATATAATTATCCTTTACACCAAGTCATCATAACTACATGAGCAAAGTAGTAGACAACCAATCAAAATGCAAAAGTTGCAGAACTATAGATGCCTGAACATTAAGATGATTCATATGATACTCATGATAAACCCGTTTAATGCAAAATCTGAACAAGGGTGCAAACAGAAAATGTCAGGAAATTCTAAAAATATAACAAATGAAATCCTGTATACTCTATTTACTACCACAGTTTTTTCCACTGAGTTATTGAAGCCATAATGTCATGGTCCTACAAGGTCCTACTGGAATTCCCTGACAGTCCCAACATTTTCCAACCCCATTTTTAAAAATTCTGCTTTAGGAGAAAAGCAAGTTACTGCTCTCACCAACCATTACTCAGAGATTTCAGTTTCCTTCCTATTCAATTAAATTTACTCTTACTCTGGCACATTTCTTCAAACTTGGTGTTTAAATATACTCAGATACTCATATATCCCCAAAAGGTGATCCATCTTACCGATATTGCTGTTATCCTAAGAGAATCAATGGTGGAATGTCTGAATAGGTACCATAAAACAGGCCCAATTTCGCCTGTAATAAAGCCCTGGGCCTGAGC